GGAGCGGAGCCGGTCGGGGACGGCCGCGGCCCGGGTACCGGGGTGCGGAGGGAGGTAGCGGTGCCCCTTGGATCCCCCCGGCCGTCGTTAACGTGGCTGCCTGCGGGTCACGCCGCCGCGGAGTGCGGCCGTCCGCGGGGGGACTGGTATCGCTGCTCGAAGTTAGTGCTGTGTAAGCGCCATCGAGCTTTTGGTCTGCCTGGAGACAGGGAGTCTGCACGCACACTCTCATAATTTTAAGTGGAATATCACTAAACAAGCTTTTTTTTTTTGCCTTTTTTTTTTTTTTTTTGGACTGATACCCTCTTTACCAGGTGGCATTGTTAATGCTGTCCGTTTTCTGCTGTCCTGGCTCCAGGATGAGCCTCACAAGAATGTTGTGTTTAGCATTTATATGTTGCGCTTCTGGAATAGCTTTCCATTTCAGCTAAGCTTGTGTGTGTGTATTTCTCCAGTTGGATCCATTCCAAAAAGGTGTCTGTCATCCACCACCTTGTAAGCATCTTTCTTCCTAATAAGTGCCAAGCTGTTAACTTTGCAGAAGTTAACAGGAGTTCCAAGCAAAACTTAACCCTCGTGATCACACTCTCCCTACTGTTACTTCATCATCCCTGTTCATGTGTGACTTGAGCAAAAACTTGAATAGTTAGGAGCTAGCCTCATTTATCAGAGAAATACCATTCTCGGAGAGGAAGAGGAACATCTGTTCAGTGAACTTTCTGACTGTGACCTTCTGACTGTGACCGACAAGGTTACATAGAAGAAATTGCTTCTTTCCTGGTTTTGAGGTTAGAGAGGCAAATAATAGCTTTCTTCTTGTTTATGAATTGCAGTTTGTCCACTGACAAAGGTATTAATGAACCAGTTGTCTGGAGACCAGATAAAATTATTCTGAAACTTCTATGACAGAGAGCAACACAGAATTGCTGTTGCCACCTCTGTAGATAGCAGAATACAGGAGTCAAGCTCTGCAAGGTAGTTTTAAAAGAGAACTTTTCTTATTACAGTTCAGAACATTTTCTATGTAAAGTAGCCTAGACAAGACATTAGAGATTGTTTTCTTTCTATAACAGCGGTCGTTATGGTCCAGATTACAACTGAGTCATCACAGCTTAATGAGCTCAAGTGAACAGTTGAGCTGCTGCAGTCACGTGCTTGATCACAAACACGAGGTGAAACACCTACCCTTAACATTTATGACTGTTGAGGTGACGCGTACTAATCAAATTGTGCTCTCCATCTTCTAGTACCTGCTCACTGTGGTGCAGGGATTTTTTAGCCAAATGATTGACAACTATTTTCTGTTTTGGCTTTTAGCTAACAGCATGAGCCCTAGTGACAATGCAGACAAGGTGCTTTACTGTGTAACTCGTACAGCTGTGATGCTGTACAGAGTTTTGCTCATTTTAGGTCTCATATCAGAATATTTGTCACTCTTCTTGGGATTCTGTCCTGTTTGGGTTTTAAGCCATTGCCAGTACTGGGGCTTGAAGTCATTATGAACGCTGTAGCCGACCTTTGCAGAGATGTTATCGCTGAATCCGCTGCTCAGGGAGGGGAGCTCCAAACTCAGCTCTACTAACTGAAGCGAGCAGGGCCAGACTGATCCCTGGGTTTGGGGAGACAACTATTTTGAAGTCGTAACCATCCTCTTATTTGATGCTGCTGTCATGCAGTGTCCTGTGCTAGTGGCTGTTGTAGCTGGGGAAGATTCCCTACATTTTTTTCAGCTGTCCTTCAGCTCCTACTGTATGTTATATGTATGTACATATGATTTCCTTTTGTACGTTGACATAGTTATTTGCATGTATTTCAGAAACTTGCTTTAGGATGACGCTCATTGATGTTTACTCATTTTAAGGCATTTGGATTTAGAGGCCAGTAAAGAATAATAGATTTTTCTAGGCTACGGCAAATCACATGGTGTGTTCTGGTTTGGACTGGACTGTGAGCAAAGTTTCCCAGAACAAGGACCTGCATGGACCTCACATTCCTTCTACTTTCCCAAACTGAGCCATCTGCACTTTTTTCAATAGGGAGCTGGGCCCTAATAATGCGGAGCATCTACACATGGCCACCATTGTCCTTTCCACAAAGGTATCCAGTAGAGCTAAACTAAGTAAAGCTGGGCTGGATGGAGACCTGTTTTATACCTATAGGACAGCTGTTTATGAAACACGAAACAGAAGCTAGCCTGGCTTTTAAAAATGTGGTAAACAAAACAGAAATTGCTTGTGATGAACATATTAAATTTATAGGAGATCTTTCAAATCTTACAGCTAAACTAAAAAAAAAAAAAAGGCAAGTGGTAGTCTTCCTTAAATATTTTCTGTTGCATTTAGGTTAGTTATTTCGATGTAGCTAGTTTTTGCACCAGTTTAGTTTTACTGTTAATGAAAAGCAACGTCTGTGAGGCCTTTATCCTTTCAGCATCAGTGAAAATGCATGTGTGTTTTCCAGGACTTTCCAGCTGGAAAAGAAAGTTACAGAATACCTTCTCTGCAGAGAGACCTGTTTTCTGCCTGGTGTAGGACAGTGTGTGATTTGCTGTTGCTTGTCTTAAACTACTTTTCCAAGCTGGATGTAGCATGATCATTCCCTAACAAAAGTAGTCATTCTGATGAAATCCTTGCTTGCCTTTTGAGTAGCTAGCTCATTGATCCTTACTAATCACAGGTTCTTTGAATCCTTCACTAAGTGTGCTCTGTGTGCAGGCAGGATTGATGTATTGATTGTTTCTTTCCTAAGAGAGAGAATTCCAGAGAGTGAAGTCTTCCCTGAAGCCAGCCTCTGCTAGATACTTCCACAAATTGTCTTGGCACTGGTATGAGAAGTTTGTCAGCCATCTACTCTGTATGCTGAATTCCTGTCATCTACTCCACCACCCCCCCAAAAAAAAACAGTACCTTGAATTTATTTTTAATAAGCCAAATTTCTTCTGATGTATGGCAGTAAATAATTTTTTTTCCTTTTCTCCTTCATCTCACACATCTTGCTACTTACGCTGCTGTACCACTACGCTGTACCTTTTAATAAAGGACGAGTTCTGCAGCAACAAAGGGGAGAGAATGTTTTCCCAGTGGAAGGCGGTCTATCTTTAAAGGACTTTCTCAGACTTTTTGTTATTATATTATTCACTTTCTTAGTACAATACATATTTCACTTTTTGATTTACTTTCCATCCAAATATCTTGTATTCCTTGATAGTGTTCTCGTTTCAACTGTTTTCCGCTGAGGTTCCTGTTGTATTGATCCATTTTATTTTTGCATAACATATTCAAATTTTAAATTTAGTTTCCATGCTTCAGTAGTCTGTTAGTCTGTGGCAACACATCTTCTGCCTGTGAAATCATATGCTTGTGAAAGAGATCGAATATTGTTATTCCTTAAACAAAGTTTGTTCAGAAAGGCATCAGAAAAAAATTTCAAAAGTTTGTGTATCTCTCTGGAATTCAGAGTCAGACCCTGAAAAGTCTGTGTCAGTTTTGAAATTTCCCATTATTCTGTTAATTTGCTGTTACAATTTCAAGGAGCCCCTGGGATTTAAGGTAGTCCTCCCATGGGATGGGATAGCAGTCACAGGCCAAGGATATTCTTCTTAAGGTTTCCAATCAGTCTTCCACAGACTTGCATCTTAACCTCACCAGTTCCTAACCTGGTTCTCACGGAGTAGTAAAGCAGTATTTCTGGGGATCTCTGATCTTGCATTGGGTTGCTAAGCACTGTGAAAAAGACATCCCTGGTTAGGCCAGCCCTTTCTCTGGAGGTGGAGTGTCTTTGATTTGCAGGACATCCAAGTGTCATTCAGTACTAGATAATAGCTCAGGTTAGAGCTTCAAGAGTGGGAAGTTAATTGGTTATATAGCAATGGAAAGCTGTAAAAAGGTGACGGTATTCAGAGAAAGATACAAAAATCATTACAAAATATGTCTTCATAGCTGTCTCACTTGGCTTCAGGGTTTTCCTTCCGTTTCCTTGATGTAATTAGTCATTTCACACAACTTCCACTGATCCGCTCCTTTGATAAATGCTGTCCTAAATTATACACTAATGGAGGGTGAAGTATGCTCTTTTCCTAGTGGCATTTTATGCCCAGTTTGTGAAACTGAGGCACAGAGACATTTAGGGAGATCTGCAGATTTCCCTGCTCATCCAGCATGAGATGTGGTGTTAAATACAAAATTTTGGTGTTCTGGCCTAGTGTCTGGTAGTCCGTTACTAACTTACTGTTCTTTCAAATGAATGCAAGATCCTTATCAGTCGTAAACAATAAAATCCTGAAAACTTGTATTCAATGGCCTATGCCTTGTGAAGGTATGTAAATACTGCTTTTGATTCTTTCAGAAGCGAGCATGCAAGCCATTAGAAACCATTCCAAATGAGGCTGATGCTCGCCTCATTGATTGTGCCATGGAGCTGGATTCTAAACAGAAAATCTCCACCGACTGTGGTCCTTGGACTACAAAGACAAAGCAAAATTCAATGGTAAGTTTACACTGTCAATAACATCTATTTTTTTAGAAGAACACATTTAAAATACATTTTATAATAAAATTGCAAATAATTGCCCCCCCCCCTTTTTTTTATGGTTTTGTATATGTTTTTGTTCATTAGACTTTTGAAAACCATGGAAGCAGAGGTACTGCCCAGCCTTGCCCAAGATGTATTGCTGGAGAATCTGTAAGTACATTAACCTTCTTTCTGTGACATAAAAGATAGACTTGTTCTTAAGTATTAGATCCATAAAACATAAAGTTAATAAAAACCGCAATTACATTTCTCAGGAATAAAGCATGTAAATAAAAGAAGGCAGATTGATTTAGCATTTCTGAGGTACGCCAGCAGAGCACAAACTAATATGTTTCCAGCAGCAGTTGGGAAATATGGAGATTGTGAACACATTTTTCAAATTCACTCCAAAAAGCAGAGTTTAGGAAATAACTAAAGCAAACAGTAACACACAACTTCCTCTACCCCATTTTTATATCTTCCTTGATTTACTGGATCATAGTAAAATATTCAGGAATCCCATTCTATCTCCTATTTTTCCTTCTAATTGGATACTTCCTTTCCAAAGACTAGACATAGCCTGAAAATATTACACTGTAGACATACCAGAGCTAGTTTTAAATGAGCTAGCTAAAAAACCAGTAGCGATCGGAGCTCAGCACAGACAATTTGACTTTTCTGAAAAACAGTGCAAGTATTTGGACAGCTGAATAGTGCTGACTTCTGAGCTGATTCAAATAGGCTCCTTTTGGTGTCCGAATTAAGCTGGTTAAAACCTGTATTTTTTTTATTTATGTAGGCTGTAGTCACAGCTATGATTTGGGACCGTATAGTATGCCGTAATACTGCAGCAGTAGCACTAGAATCTCCCACTAACAGATGGCAGTGATCTTAACCACTGTCTCTTTTTTTCCCCCTGGATAGAGGGCCAAAACCCTCAAGGGATAATGGCTGGTAACAGTGAAAAAGGTTATGGTATTCCTACAGTTTCATTTTTCATGCAAATTGTCTAACCAAAGTTTAGGAAGTTTCTTAAATGTATGGGAGCTACCCTTGACTTTTGTTTGTATCCTCTGCATCCTTTTGAACCATCACACAGGATTCCTTAGAGAGCCAAAAATGAGGAGAGGTGTGGGGGAATGCCATGCATTTCTTCAGAAAGGCTGAATGTTTATAGCAAAATCTTTGATTTGATGGAATTAATGGCAAAGTTTCTGTTGAATGCTATGAGACTGAGGATGCTTTCATAAGTGAAGAGCTGTGACTGAAAAGACATTTACCATGTCTGCTATGAAGGAGAACACCTTTCCTATGAAGATGGACTGAGAGAGTTGGGGTTTTTCAGAAGAGAAGGCTTCAGGGAGACCTTATTGTGGCCTTTCAGTACTTAAAGGGGGCTTATAAAGAAAGATGGGGACAGACTTTTTAGCAGGGCCTGTTGCGATAGGACAAGGGGGAATGGCTTTAAACTAAAAGAGGGTAGATTTAGACTAGATATAAGGAAGACATTTTTTACGCTGAGGGTGGTGAGACACTGGCACAGGTTGCCCAGAGAGGTGGTGGAGGCCCCATCCCTGGAAACATTCAAGGTCAGGCTGGAGGGGGCTCTGAGCAACCTGATCTAGTTGAAGATGTCCCTGCCCATGGCAGGGGGGTTGGACTAGATGACCTTTAAAGGTTCCTTCCAACGCAAACTATTCTATGATTCTATGTTAATTTATTTCTGCTCATCTTTAAAAATAAAATAGAAACCAGATTCAGAGCTGACTTTAGGAATATAGAAACTAGTATGACCACGTATGTGGATTACCAAGTTTGAACTTTCCAGACGTGTTACCATCTTTGGGGGCATGGAGAACATCTCAGGGATTAAAACCCAAAAAAGAAAAGAACATCTTGGGATTAAAACCCAAATCAGCACATTAGGAAGTCAGTTTTGTTGTATTCCAGAGTTACAGTGACAACATCAGAGTTTGTAAAATTCTTCTATATCAGTGACCACTTAATTTTGGAAAATTATTATTGCTTTTATGTAACATGAGTACAAATGTTGTAATTCCAGATAACACCATTTCTATTTTAAGTCAGATTAGCCTGACTTTTTTTCCTATGGCCTAGTAATGAACTTGAGATAAAAAACAGATAACTTGAGGGGGTAACATTCACCTCCTCCACAAACATTTATGTATTGAAGTTTGGTTATAATGGATGACCTGTTCTATTCACTTTTAAATGTTTTTCAGCTACAGCTGTAAGAAACAAGGAAAACAACTTGCTAACTTTACTCAGTGAGAACTGGAATCTCAAAACTAAACAAATTTTCTACTTGCCTGTCCTTCTGTGCTTTCAATATAGAAACTCAAGGTAGTGTTATAAAAATCTGGAGCCCTTGTAGAGCTACGCACTAGACTTGTTGCTAAATTAGCCTCATATTGTTGAGTTGAAATGGAAAACGCTTTGCCCAAAGCAGGGTGATTTTAAATATGACTGGTTTTAAATATGATTCTGATTTCCATGACATACCCTGTAGTGGGGGGAAAAGTTTACCCATGTGTGTTGCAAAATGTCAAATATAAATTTGAGTTCAAGGAGTAATATACAATGTTTGGTAACAGAATAATGAAGTTAGCATATATATTCAGTTCTCCGTTATTTCAGTCATGGGGCCGGAACAATCTGGATAAAAGAAAAATATGACTCCTTTTGCACTGATAGCTTGCTCTTGCAGAGAGGAGGGCCTCTCTTTGGCTCCCAGTTCCGGTTAGGAGAGTTTGCTAGTTTGGACATACTGCCACACAAAGACAGGACTAGAGCAGCCAGAATTGTGTTGCGGCATAGCTGAATTCATGTCATGTTGAGCTAACATATCCACCCTGATATAAACTGGCTTGTGTGAGTGTCCTTGCATTCACAGCATGATTAATCTACAACGCCACTACCTGTGGATGATGAACTGATCATATAGATTTGTTAATTGTGTTCTCTTTGGATAATCAGTTATTTGTGTCCGGTAACATAACAGGTAATACAGTTATATTTCAATAAATTCTGTAGGAATTATAGTAGTAAACTATTTTCATTTTTTAAATAATAAAAAGCTTATGTTTAGAGTATAATGACTAGTAAGCCGGTAAGAACTCAGATAACTTTCTTCACAGTTAAAATTTCACTTCAGGGAAATCAGAGACTATCACAGTGATTAACATGCATTATGGAAGTCCTTCAGAACAGCTGAAATGAACAGAAGGGAGGAGCTTACAGGTAGCAAGATGAAGGATGTTGTAATTTTTTTTCATGATCGATAATGTTGAAATCCTATCAGAAGCTTTATTCTACTGATGGTAGCGAAATTCGAATAAATTAAAACACCCTAACTGGAACAAGTCAAACACAAAGCATATTGGGCTGAGACAATTTTTCATTGCTGTGGGTAGTCTTATCAGGATTGTATTTTGCATCAAGAAATCCTGATATTTATGGAGCTAATCAGCCACGTGAGGAACTTCACTAACATCAGCTTTCCTGAACACATTTATTTCTGTGTCACTACCGTAAGTGCTGTGAACTTCAACATGTATTTAAAGGCATTATCACTATTAGGTTTGCTCTTTCAACTTTTAGACCTCTTTTTCTACAATTAATGACTACCACATGTTTCAGAAGGAATAAGAAGTGGATTAAACCACAATTTGAGAAGAGAGTACTACTTTAGTTGCATTTTTTGTAAGCTTTCTTTGGACTAATGTGTTATGGGCTGTTTAGGCAGGGACTTAGAAGAAGAGGAAGAAGTGGTGTTAACTAGAAGGAAGCTAGGTAGGATTTCAGGGCAGGGAGAACACCACCATCATTCTTGAGATTTTTCTGTGTTACATGATAGCTAGAGATAAAACTTCTTTTGTTCTGAAAGTGTTACTGTGAATACATTCTTTAAACAAATACAATGTGATACAAACAAATGCAGACTTGAGTTTAAAATAAGTTGCCAACCAGAAAGTAAATTTCTGTTCTATGCTCAAAATCTTCAAATGTTTGATGGTTACATAGAATAAGGTATCTGGTGTTATAGGTACAAGTATGATGGTAAAATTGTCTATATTCTGTATGGGTATATTTTAACTTCATGTGCAAAACAAGTATCATAACTCAGTCATGCTGCTTATACAGATTACACTGAATATTCCCTTTACTGTCCAGGCTTTTTAGTTGTCCACTAGTCCTTCAGGAATAAAAGGGAACATTTGTCATGCAGTTAGTGGAACTGTCAGTTTCTTTTAAAATAAAGTTTGAAAATATATACTGAAAAAAAGACTTCAGGATTTGATGAGATAATTTTTAGTGACGTGAAATCTTGTCATTTTAGGGGCACTTCAGTCATATCCTGGGCTTCTAGAAATTGAGAGACGGCAGACCAGCAACACTGCTTTTCTTTTTAAATTCTAAAGATGCACCTGTGAACCCTGTACAGCTGGGTATCTGTACATTCACTCATGGCATGGATTTGTGTGTGGTATTCAGCATATAGCAGTTTGCTATATGTGTTACTCTTTCAGTGCACAATTATGGATATCATTGTTTTTACACTTGAAAAAATGCTTCTGCTTTTAAGGTAGCTCAGTATATGTTAAAAAAAAAAAAAGTTGATTAATGTTTTAGAGTAGTTAAGTTGATCTGGCCTTTGGCCCAGTCTTCACCTGGGACTGGGCCAAAGGTCATGTTGATACAAGAGATTTTTCTGTCTCTCTTGGGCACTTTCTCTGATACTCTTGGAAAGCGGCCCTTGCATTTACATGGGTACAGGGCCTGCAGTTTTAGCTCAGCCCTGTATATGCAGCAGAAATGGGAGGACAGAAATGTCTGCATTTTTAGATGGCTATTCAGCTGTGAAGGCCAGTAAAAATCCCATTGAAACTTACGTTTAAATCCAAAATATGCATCCAATTCAGGTATCTTACACGCTAAACTTCTTGTTTGTTTATAACAAGCAGAGTTTGCGAATGTGGCAGGTAAATATCTAATAGAAGAAGCAGTATTACTTGAACAACCCTCCGTAAAGTGAAGATGAATCGTAATTCAGCTCTGTGGAGTTCTCACAAAGTTGTTAAGATACCATCTGTCACTCCCTGACTCTGTCTTTCCAGTTATTGTGATATTAGAACAAATCTGTTTAAAAAGTCTTAAACTTGTCATCCAACATGATTTTACTGGCTTGTCACAAATAATTTCATCTATGTTTTGCCAGTATATAGGACTATATAATTTTTAAACACATGCAAATTTTTAGACTCTTAAGATAGCCGAGTTGTGCTATTTGGGTGTGACACTTCAGTGGCTGCTCTGGGATAGGCAGAAGAGTCCTGAAAGCTCAGAACTGAATGGCAGTACGTTAACCCTCTGCATTGGAGGGAAATTGCTGTGACCTGCCGAAGTTCACAAAGAAAGCAATCTCCGCTGTCTGGAGAACTGCTGAGCTATAGCTGTGCCCTGCTGCCAGTCAGCTTTCGGGCAGAGTTCAACCCAAAACAGATACGGCAGGGGGGACA